AAATTTAGGCGTCTTTTTCCAAATCCCCCCCCAAATATGGTTAAATTAACTCCAATTTGAGGTTCTAGAAACAGAAATAATAAAATGTTTCTTGGAACATGAAGTGTTTCTGAGTAATATAATTTAGTAACTATCACTTTTCTTCTTGATATTTTTAAGATAACTGTTTGGATCCAATGTATTGAAACACAAAGAAAATTCTTTATCATGAGTTTTTTCCTATTTGTAACCATTACCACACTCTTTATATTACTTAAATATATAGATATTTACCCTTGATAGTATATCTCTGTGTAGAAGTTAGAGATGATAGGTTACCAATTCTGGGGTATTTATAAAATTGTCTCATTAAAGTTAATATAAAAGAGCTGAAGTGATTAAATATAGAATTGAAAAGGGCCAAATTTGCCAAACAGTACATTTCTGCAAAAACTTAGTACTACAAATATTAATATTTCTCAAATCAATGAATGGAATGCCTTTTATGTTAATAACTCTTTGAGAAATTACAGTGATACATTGTTAATTTGTGTTTGTATAATGTAAAGATGTTATAACATTTTAAACTTTGAGAATACTGATGCTATGGTACCACTTTCCATTTTACAGTGTGGCAAGACATGATTGTTTCCATATGAGAGATTAGACTTAACAATATTTTTTGAAATTCTCTGAATCGTATGAAATAAATTTTTATTTTCTTTGGTATAGTAATAAAGTTCAGTGCACATGCCTCAGAATCAGTGTTACTATAAGTGCATAGTTTTCCAGTTAAATCATGTTTGTTGTTAGCAGAACTTTACTATACTTTGATTTCTTTTCTTAAACAAGCAGAACACATGAACTTTAATTTGTGCAAGGTTTTCAAAGATTGCTGTATACGCATTTTCAAAAGGATTAAAAACAGTGAGGGGTATAGGGAAGGAGGGAAGGACAGCTAAGAGGACCCATCCTTCTTTGCTTTAATTTCTTTTACTCTAAAGAACTGTATAAGAAATTAAAATTTGGAGCATTGAAGACATTTGACAAATAAAATACAATCATTAGGAGCCACCAGCTGGGACTACCTCAAACAAATAATAGGCTCTATATTTAATGAAGCCAATAAAATGACAGCATGAGCAGTTCCCAAGTGCCTGTTTGCCTAATGCTGAAGAACCCACATCTTGGCTAATATCTGTCACTAATCAGTAATGGGTAGATGCACTTGTCTGACCTCTATGGACTCACAATTCTTAACTTAATGGTCTGTTAATGAAATAGCTGAGGTTTTTATTCAGCAGCAGCCAGTTCAACATTTTTTAATAATTACTAAGTGAAATGTTATGCTTAGGTTATTTGAGTTAAGTAGTCTTTTTAAGTGCTGAGTATCTAATAAAGAAAGTTAAGGAGGAAATCCCTAGTAGGCAAGAACAAGATTGCTGCTGCTTTTTAGCCAAAATTATGAAAGTGTATCAAGCCTACTTTGCCTATCTTTATACCTTTTTGAAGTTGATATATGTAGCCCATAAAGGAATATTTTAAGAAGTAAAATGATACTTTTCTTACCATTTCTAATATACTTTTATATTTTAGAAAAAACCATCTCTTTTTATGTTAGAGTAGAAAATTGGTAATGTGACTATAGCCAAGCATTTCTTGAGAACTTGAGCACTGGGCTAAGCACTGTGAGGAATACAAAAAAACATAGTACAGGCCTTGTTTTACAAAGCTAATGGAAAAATTACCTTTAACATGTTGATGTGGAACACCAAAATAAAAGTAAATTTATTAATTGTTCAATTGTATGGTACATATTAGAAGTGGCTGTGAATGTTCAGAAAAGGGGAGAATCCATAAAGGTTTGAGCATTCAAGGCATTGGAACTTGACTTGAGCCTTGAAGTCTGCGTAGGATTTAAACTAGGGAGAGGAAGCAAGAGGAATCACATGAACAAAGATGAGAGCCAACATAGAAGTGGCACTGGAAAGGAAGGAATCATTATGAGAATGATTTCAAAGGAACAAATAACAGGAGTTGGAACTACCCGAATACAAGTAACATGAAAAAAAAAAATAGAGTAGAGGAGAGGTGCAAAAAACAATACCATAGTCTAGGTTAAAGACAGCCAATGTGCCATTGGTGGAGATGAGGAATTTGAAAAGGGCAGCCAGTTCCGATAAAAGATAACATTTAATTTTAGACATGTTTGACTTGTGGTATTACCATTTTGTAGCAATATATCCAAATGGAGACTTTCAGTATGCAATTAGAGATTAGACACTATAGCATGTTAGAAAATGTAAAACTAGAGATACAGATTTGATGAGTCATCAGCATAAAAGTAATTGTAAAAGCTATTAAATATAGATAAACTGTTGTAGCTTCCTTAGAAAAACAAGCAGATGACTAAAAGCTAAATTTGGGGAAAAGGCAGAAGTGTTATAGGAAAGTGAAAGAATGGAAGAGTGTTAGGAAGGGTGTGATCAACAGTATCACAAGCTGCAAAGCCAAGGGGAAAGTTCTGAGAAAAGGACATTGAATTTAGCAACAAATAAGACAAGATGAATTTGTTCTGAATGAATAAAAGGTTTTCAGTAAAGTGACAACACCACAAGTCTAAATTTCAAAAGGCTAAGAAATAAGAAAGGGGAATATTAAGGAAATGAAACAGTGGAAAAGAAGGTTCATTTGTCTTGTGATAAATGCAAAGAGAATAATAAAGCTAAGAATTTTTAAAATAGAAATATTCAACACATTTTGGAATGCAGATATACATCCGTCTATATCTTCTACATATTTGATATCTAGTAAAAGAATGGCAACTAGAAAAAGTTAAAATGGCAGCAATCTAATGGAGGCAGGAACATGTTATTGACATTGCACCTAAAAAGCATTTAGACAAGATAAAGGAAATAGAGCTCTACTTTAAAATACATCATGTCTACTTTCTGAGAGTGAAACCTGTATATATTCCACAATATGAATTTACTCTTTGTGGAATAATAAATTAAATTATGTCTTTTGACCAGTGATAAAGTTACTATTTAGCTAAAGATGATTTAAATGAAATGTGTTGCTCTATTAAATATTTATATTATTATTGATCGCTGAGCTAGTACATAATTGAAAATATATATTTAATACTAGAATGTCAGTTTATAAAACAGCATATTAAAGTTCCATAAAAATTCATGTACAGGGTATACTATCTTGTTTTTTAAGTTTGGCTGTGCTCCTGTATCTATGTATAGATTTAAAGGGAATGTTATTATGAGAATATTATGTTCTCATTGCATATTGTGCTGACACCTGGGGAAATAGTGAAATATTTTTTAATAAAGTTAAGTTCTGTTTTCAATTGCTAATTAATTTTTTCAACTGTTTAAAAATAAATCAATAGAATTTGTTGTTATAAAATACATTTAAACATACATGTATGGTATATTTATGCACAGATATTTGCCTTGCTACTAGGTCCTAAATGTAGAGTTTTTGTTTTTAAGACTGGCTTCTGTCCTTGAAAAGAAGCTATTACCATATTAATACAAGGAGAATATAATATTCCTACATAGAGTTTTAATAGGACATTGGATTCTTAACATCTTTAAAGTGTCCCTAAACCAAAAGTGCCATAAATCAGTTAAACAGTATATAGTAGGCTGTATTCAACAGACTGTATTCAAGGCTGTATTCAACAGACTGTATTCAAGGCTGTATTCAAAAGCCTGTATTCAACAGACTTTTATTAAATACCCTCTAAGCATAATGGAAGATAGCAAAATAAACAGTAGTTTTTGTTTTCCACAGCTTGACATAGGGCAAGGAGGACTTGAAAGATTGGCAGTTGAATTTTGGTACACGCCTTACTAGCTATGTAACTTTGGGCAAGTCATTTAATTAAGTAGTTTTTGAAAAAAAATTGAGTGTCAGCTTCCTTTTCTGTAAAACCAGGATAACAATACCTCTCTTGCAGAGTTGTAAAGTCTAGAAGTAGTAGTGTATTGATCTAGCATAGTATCTAACCCATGGTAAATAGTTACTAGTAACTGTTAACTATTATTGCCTACCTCACAAAAGGTTGACAATAAATGTTAGTATCTTTTCCTTTTTGCTTACAACCCATTAATCACTAACATAAACTTGTAGTCACTATGATGAATCATCTAGCATGCAGGAAGTGATCTTTGTTATGCCTTCTGAAATTGACAAGTATGTGAAGGCTTGTAAAATTCATTTTGACTTCCTACTACAGATTTTAATGAGCGTACTTGAAGAGATTCAGAGCTTCCAAGGCTGGCATCTGTTTTCTTAAAATGGGTTGAACATATACATAAAAGCCACTCATAATGATCAGCCTTTGAGTTTCTCAATAGCAACTATTGATTATAAGTTGTCAAGGTCTATGATTCTAAAGGTCTTAGTTTTTATGAGGAAAATTTTCATATATACACAAAAGTAGAAAGAGTAGTAAAGTCCACTCTCACATACTACCCATCAGCCAATCCAAGCAGTTATCAACTAAAATGGGTTTTAAGGGAAACATTTCAGTCAAAAATTATACTTCCAGCCCTGGTTGGTGTGGCTCAGTGGATTGATCACTGACCTGCAAACGCAAGGGTCGCCGGTTCAATTCCCAGTCAGGGTACATGCCTGGGTTGTGGGCCAGGTCCCCAGTAGGGGGCACTTGAGAGACAACCACACATTAACCTTCCTCTCCCTCCCTTCTCCTCTCTAAAAGTAAATAAATAAAATGTTTAATAAACTATATTTCCAGTTATATATCAGTGTTTCTCTAATTTATTATTTTTAATTCCATATCATGGATCTAGTTAGTTTCTTTTAGTATTTGAATTAATAGTCAAAGGTTTATTTTCTATAAATATCATAAAAGTACTTTAGGATGCATTTTAAAATCACAGCATCAAAAGAAAAATGCATGGCTTTGTAACTTTTTTAAAAAATGAGTTAGAGTTAAATATGCTGGGTAGAATATATTTTGTTCTGTCTTTGTTTTTAAGGTTTGGCTTGAGCAACAAGTTTGATACTGAATTTCCTTCAGTTCTAACAGGGAAGGTAAGTGACAGTTTGCTTTGAACTTTTCAATTCTAAAAATGTTGTTTTATGACTTATTTAGTGTTATGACAAACGTTTTACCTGCTGGTAATGAAATTTAATTACAAGAGGCCAGGGTAGTTGGAGACCATGTCATTTGTGACTGAAGGTTGTACCTATGACCAGTTATTTTGTTCACTCTCCATTAATGCCAGCCATTATTTACTCATTTGTTCAGTTCTCATAGTTTTGCTATTTTTTTTTCAGCCCTGGTAGCTATTGATAAAACTGTTTTCATTTAGGTTAGTAATTTCTCATGTTTTATTTTTATTTTTTGCTCTTTCAGCCATTTCTTTTTATTTACAGTTTGTAAACAATATGAGAAGTTACCATGAAAGCATAAATGCACAAACACAATATACAATCCAAAATAGATGTACAGCATTCAGTTATGAAACAAAAGGGAATGTTCATTCATATACACAGTAGTTTGAGATCTGTTGGATGTGGTGTTCCTGGGTAGGTTTCTAAAGATAGAAAACAGTGACTTTGGTTATCAAGACTACTGTAGCCATATTAGATACTGGAACATTTAAGCATCAGTGTTGGACCATGAGAATGAGACTTTAGGGAGTGTCTTATTTCAAAAGGTTTCTGTGCATCCAAGCAGTTGTGAAAAGATTTGCTTTCCAGAATCAAGCCCACATTAGGTTTAGGATAAGGTTCTAACTATCTGAAAATATTGACCAATAATAGAAAGTGTTCCAAATGTGGCTATTCTGATTCATAGTTTTTAAAATAAAGTATGTACAGAAAAAATCTAAAAGTTTTTCTGAATTTAATGTAGGTAAGCTTCCAGTCTTTGCTTCCCAAATACCTTATTTACAGTTTTGACTCCCTCACATATTTGCTTTTTCAATTTTAAGATTTTTCTATTTTACCTTCAAAACAAATCATTTTTAATTGTAAAAAGTATTCAGTATATGCAGAAATAAAAAGGTCCTCTACCCTTTGGAATTAGTTAGGCAAAATGAATCTGGCATTCTTGTTGAATAGGAGTACATGATAACCATATAAGCAAAATTAATTCATTATGTTTGGATTTGGGGTAGATTCCAATTCATCATTGTCCTGGCACATATCAATTACTACATAAAAAGTCAAATGCAGTGTCAAACACAAAGCCTCAGAGGAAAGAGTTCAGTACCCAAGAAAACAGTAATAGTTTAACAATGTAAAACTTTATCTAGATATCTAGAGTTATATGGGCATTAAATGAGTAATGTGAAGCAATATACTGAGAATGTACAGGAACACCTGGATGTGTCTTCTAATGTACATATAAGTAGAACCATGAAATCTTTTTGAATTACCTGTTTTATGGCCTTATAGCTTTAATGAACCAAATGAAAAATGACTCTGTTCCAAATCCCATCCTTTAACTATAGATGAGATAAAATCTATTCATTTTTAAGATAGAAGTATGGACACATAAAAATTTTATTTTATGTGTCCATACTTCTTAATCCACATTTAAGGAAATCATCTCTGGACCAATTTTAGATGTGTTTCTTCATCCTGTACATGAAACTCTAGCAGATTTAATACTAGCATTCCCTGGCTGGCGAAGCTCAGTGGATTGAGCACGGGCTGCGAACCAAAGTGTCGCAGGTTCGATTCCCAGTCAGGGTACATGCCTGGGTTGCAGGCCATGGTTCTCAGCAACCACACATTGATGTTTCTCTCTCTCTCTCTTTCTCCCTCCCTTCCCTCTCTAAAAAAATAAAGAAATAAAATCTTTTTTAAAAATACTAACATTCATCATCTAATCAAACCCTGCACATGCTCTTCAATCAAATTTAGAATCATCAGCCCAAAAAGTGGTTAAAATAGTACATTTTGTTCTATATGTTTTACTGCAATAAAAAGGCCTGTAATAAAAATATTGGAGATCCTCAACACTTTCTGTGTCAATAAAATTAGTTGTGGAATTAACAGAATCAATGAAGACTTGTTTTTTTCTTGTCACACTAGATGTCTAGTTGCCATTTGGATTGGGTTTAGAAGATGGGGAAATACGGATGTTTCTTGGCTGATCCTCAACAACAGAGGTGTCGGTTCCTTCCAGCACTTGGCTATTGTACATTGTGCTGCTGTGAACACTGGGGTGCACAGGGTCTTTTGAATTGATGGGGGGAATGGAGATGACTGTACCTGAACAACAATGAAAAACAATAGAGATGTATAAGAAAGAATGAGACTGGCTGTTCACTGCAGAGCACCACCACTTGCCTTCATGGTCACGTTCTCTGGACTTAGAGTAGTTGAGGTATTGTGGGAGGGGTTACTGGAAGTTGATACAGCAGTTGTTTGATTTTAATAAATCTGCGTGGGTAGGAGCAGCCGCCCCAGTTGGAGCATGGCTACCATCAATCTGCACGTGTCCCCTATCAGTGTGCATGTGTCTCACTCTGGATGTGAAGTGTGTGGAGAACCCCTGGTTTCAGCAGATGCAAGCAAATCTAATTTCTGATGTTTTAGAGTGAACAAAGTTATTGTTTAACTTTGTAGCACTCTTTAAAACTGTCCTGTGGTCTGATTTTGTTATATGTCAAAAGTATCAAATTTTTGGTTATTTTTCTACCTTTTAGATAATTTGAGTTTCTAAAATTGGACTCACTGCAAGAAATTATTTTCTTTCTGTTCCCTGGCCCTTTTACATTCAGTAGTTTCTTCTAGCATGGAGATTGAATAGTCAAAGACTTGCTAGGTTTTGAAACAATTTCTGGAAACTCCTCTGACAACAGTAATGCTAACTTCTTCGTCCAAAGGGAAAGGCTCTGACTAAGGCAAAAGATTATTTACACATGTTTGTTACTTGAGAAAACGTAGGTGAAGAAAGACAAAATCATTATATTACAAAATACTCAATAATTTTCAAATGGTTAAGACCTAAGTGCTTGGTAGCTGAAATGTTGATCCAGGGTTAAAAGAAGTTAATTTTTTTTGGATTTTGAAACCTGCAATTTAATATGATCCTGTTTAATTTTACTACTAGAATAATGTTATTTGTCAATATAGATTTTGGTCATATTTAAAATCATTTTACTCTCAAGGTCTTTAATATGCTACTTTAGTGTTAATTTTGCTCTTATCGTAATTGAGAAAAGCAAGGCTCAAATCAGTGTTTATAATATATGTAATAAAGGGGAGAAATAAACACATTGATAATTATATGAAGTAATTCTAGAAGGATACACATGAAACTAATACAAGTCATTACCTTCATGGGAGAAGAAGAATGAGATGAATGGAGGCAAGGGTAAGGATGAAACCATTTCTGAATATCTTTCAGTATTATTTTGATTTTTGAACCATGTGACTATAGTGCATATTTAAACTTTAATTTACTTTTTAAAATTTTGATTGAATTTATTGAGGTGACATTGGTTAATAAAATTATATAGGTTTCAAGTGTACAGTTCTATCATACATCACCTGTATATTGTATTGTGTGTTCACCACCCAAAGTCAAGCCTCTTTCCATCACCATTTATCCCCTTCCCCCTCTTCTACCCCTCTTTCCCTCTGGTAAACCTTAATTTACTTTCAATTTGTTCTCGTAATCTAAACTCTTTGAGAATGGGATAAAATACTTCTACTAATAGTGGCTCTTTTTTGTCATAATAAATTATTCAATTGCTTATTCTCCTCACTTTTGATCTATTCCCAATCTTCTCCCCAGTCTCATGGGGGAGGGAGGAAGACAACAAACCTGTTTTTTTTCCAAAGGTTATCACTGAGATCATAATAAACTGTATTTAATTTAACCTTAAAAAGTTTTTTATATTTTATTTGCTTCATTCTCCCCCTAAAAAAATGGGAGCTAGCTTGAGACAGTATAGAGTAATTCAACAAGCTTTAAAGTCAGATCTGGGTTTTAATACAAAGTTTGTCATTTACTGGCTTTGTGGCCTTAGGCAAGCTACTTCTCTGAGCCTCTGTTCATATGTGAAGAATAGAAATGATGATAATAGTACTTGACTTCTTATTGTAAAGATTAAATGAGGGAGCATATGTAAAATTTCTAGTATATTGTCAGGTACTTACAGCTTCCCAGTGTAAGTTTGTGTTTGCTGGTGACCATTGTATGTCAGCGTATCCCAGTTTCACCATGATGGTTTATCCAATTTTCTCTATTTATCATCTTTGAATTTTTAATTGCTTTTGCTACTTTTACATTCTTCATCTGAGTAATGGTTTATTCTCTGATTCCACCAACAATTTGCCCTCTTGACTTTGGACCATTTATATCTCTCCCGAAGTATAACAACAAAGCATTCCATATAATAATAAGTGGGTAGAGATAGTCCTTGGCTAATTTGACATTAGAAAATATGTGACCATATAACTTTTTAGGATACAGAGAACTGTTTGGTGTGAGATTTTGACCTCACTCTTTATTATGTTCTACCTTCCTATCCTGATCATTTAGAATAATTCAATTAAAGTAGTAGTTCAGACTTAGTCTTGTTTTATATGAATTAATCATAAATGTTTTCTTGAAATGAAAGAAATTGTTATGAAAAAAATCTCTTGAATAATAATATGTTTGTGGAAAGATAGCACATTCAAAATTAAAGAAGATGTGAATTAAAACATTTCCAATGGAAAATTTGTTCTTTATTTTTCCTTGATGCTGTTTGCATGTGTTGTCTGGGCAGTAATATCCAACTTCATTACTAGTTTAGTTTGTTTAAAAGTTTGAATTACAAATTTAAGAAACTCTAGAAAAATGAATAATCAGAGAAGCGTGTCACAGAAGAGAGTTCCCAGGCATAAGAATTACCTATCTTTGAAATAGGCCAGTTATATGTGCTCACAACTCTTTGTTTCTCTCCAAGCCTTCTAAAATTAAAAACTTTACCAGCCCAAAAGTACAGTTTTTTAAACTAGAGAAGTAAGAATTTCAAGCTGTTTTAGTATGCTTGCAGACAACTTAAATGATCTGGATGTGAGCT